TATGATGAATGAATGTAGCCGGCTATGGCGCTGTAGTAAAATCGTACCCCTAAAAAGAAAGCGGACAAGGTCAAGTGCTGGTGCAGTGGGACAGTGGGCGCGGTAGACGCAGCAACTCGCATGACAACGACGGCAGGCCCGACTCCACCGCCGCCACCGCCGCCGCCGCCGCACCAGTAGCCGCACAGCTACCGACCGACCAACTACAATACAACACAACGCATAACTTTTCTATTTACATTTTGTGACAAACAAAAACTCAACGTGAACAGAGCAAAGTTATCCAGTCCTTAGCTAGATTTATAGAAGAATTTAATTCAAAGTGCCAAAAATGTGTTGTACTGTTGCGGTGACAGTGCTATTACTGCAAGTGCTGATATCGCAGTGTGCGCCGGTACCTTTACTCCTGCGTCCCGACCGGCAGCGGCAGCAGGGCCAGCAGCTGCTAGACCTGCAGCAGCTGCAGCAGCTCGAGGCCCTGCAGCGGAGCGCCTGGTCGTCGCACTTGTGAGTACAGAATAAGTTTTAGCGTACGTGCAGACCTCACTGATCTCTGACTGCTGACAATCTGCATAATTCACACTCTTACACATTTTTACTTCCTAGTTAACAAAATATTTTTATTCAAGTACTGAAGAATTGTTTTAAACATACAGTGGTGATTTTCGTACTTCAAAATAAATAAACATATATCTCAGAAGTAGAAGTTCTCTTAATTTTTATTGTTGATAATTTTATGATACAAACCGTGGTGGTGAAATATTTATCAAATAGCGTATAAAGGAAGATGGTTAAAAAATACAGTTAGGTCGTTAACTCTAATGGGCGCGACGTCCACATAACTCGGCTATCGAGGAATTCCGCTCGGCGACGTGTCATGATTCTGCCTTGAAAATTAATTCGGAGGAATGTTATTTATCCATTTTTCAGATCAATACCACCGATAATAATCCTCATTCAAAACGCTCACACGAAGGCGACAGACGAGTCGACCGGCCAACAAACGAAACAAAACACCGCAAAAACAAACGCTAACAAAGGAATAGTCGACGAAGATTTGGATTCGGTGATCATCGAAGCGGATCCAGACGACGAGGAGTCGAGGCCGCAGGGGCTGCTAGTGGTACCGAGCCGCGCCAGGCTGTCCATCGGCGACGTCATCTCCGCTATCCCCTTCCTGCCCATCGAGATCAACGTGCCAGATACCATCGGGTGGGCCTACAACGGCATAGCCTCTGGCATCTCCAGCATCATATCGATCTTCGGCCGGATGCCGAGCGTCGGCGGTGGCGGCGGCGGCGGCGCGCAGAGCAGGCTCCAGCTGGGCGGGCTGCGGCCGGCGGGGGGCGCGCCGCTCCTCCTCCTGCCTCTACCACAACTGATACCCATACATCTCCCCATACAAGTGTGATACAATACACAGCTACTGACACGTCTCCTTTTATTTTATACCTACTTTATTTATAACACAGCCTCATTTTCCTTTTTTCGATTCTCATATCGTAGAATACTAGAATGTTCCCTATGTGTGCTGCGCATTCGGTAAATGAAAATAAAATGGTGGGAGGAATTAAACAACAACGTATATGTATCGTATTTATTTGTAATAATATAATGATACGAATGGTACACTTAGTAGCGGCGAACTTAACCTACTGGCGACTAAAATGGCAACTCAACGTATCCTATTTGGACGACAGTACAGTTACGAATCGCTCGACCCTGATCCGCGACGTGAGCTCCGCCGCGCCCACATCTCTGCCTGCACCCTACTGCAGCACGCTTCCATGTCTTATCTACTAATTGAATTACATAAGTATCTGCCCGCGAATGTGCGGGGGAGATAAAATAATTACCGGCGAGAGAAGTACAAGCCACAGTTGAAATGTTGCTAAACAACATATAAAAGAGGTCCCAGTAATTACAAATTATATATTCCTAGTTTGTATGTTGTCGAATTGTTAGATAACAGGCCGTTGTCTGGCGAGGTCTAGGAAGTTGTCGCGGCGAGGTAGGCGGGGCCCTGGCTGTACGCGGGGCCCTGGCTGTAGGCGGGATCCTGGCTGTAGGCGGGGCCCTGCTTCGGAACTATGACGGACACGGGGTACGTGAAGCTGTAGAAGAAGCCGCGGGGAGGGCCCTGCCGGTTACAGAAACAATATGTCAGTTATAGTTACAAAGCCACTTCGATGAGTTACATATGTCAATATACTAGAGTTTAACCTACAGTGGGTTCCGGCTCCTCGGTGGTGGTGTAGTACTGCTGCTGGTAGGCCTTGCCCTCGCGGGGCTGCGGGCCCTGCGCCTGCTGCGGGCCCTGCGCCGGCGCCGCCACCACCGCGCTCTGCTGCTCAGAGGCCGCCGTCTGGTACTCTCTGCGACATGAACGCGTTGTCAATAGTAGTGTAAGTGTGTGTGAGAGGCGAGAGGTAGCAGCAGGACTTACTGCGGCAGGGGCGCGAGAAGCGAGGCGGCGCGGGCCTGCTGCCAGGCGCGCTCGTGCTCCAGACGCGCCGCGCGCACCTCCGGTGTCTCCTCCACCGGCTTCAGCTCCACCTTGGGCAGGTTGTCCTCCTGGTGGAAACCCTGGCTGTCGGCCCAGTACCGCACCTGATGACATTACATAACACTTACAGCCTAGAGAGAATCGGCAAATAGTGACGAGCGGTGAAGCGGTGGTGACGCAGCGATACCTTGACGAGTTGGTCGTTGTTGTTCTTGTAGACGTAGGAGCCCTGCACGTTGCCGGAGCCGGCGCGGTCCTCCACCTTGGCGGACTCGGGCGTGCGGTACCCGTACCCGTACTCGCCGCGCCCGCTCTGACCGTGGAACTGCGCCGCCTCGTACACCTGACACACCGCGCCGCCGCACACTTCGATATACTGATATTGTAGTCACAGTGAACTGCGTCCGCTTTATTCTACTTTGAATTTTTGTATCCAGTTCTCGAGGACCATATTTGAGTAGTTCGTCGAGATTAGTGAATGTACGAGGAAATGGTTACGGGTGATAACAGTAAAAAAATGAGCAAACGGGACAGGTTATGAAGAATATAATAAAAAAATAAATTTTACAGGTTAACAATGAGCAATGAATTTAATTTAAATAACTTATAAAAAAAATTGAGCGTGACAATTTTTTTTTCTTAATTGTTATTTGCAAAATAAAATTATCAACTTCTTATTGTCGGTTAATCATTATATAGCTAAGTTTTAATTACACCTGACCTTGGCCAAATTACATTCAAAATCTGTTCGCTGGTAGGTTCTCGCGGAAGCCATGTTGATAGATTCACATTTATATAAACATGCAACTATGTATTTTAATTTTAAAAATCGTTTATTGTCACATCTGATACCGGTGACTTGCGGCTTGATCTTTGAATATATTTCAGCTATCTTCACTCGTCATTTATTGAATTAAAAGTAAACAAACAAGCGGTAGGATTATTCAAGATGTGAAATATATAAGAAAAGTATTGTGTGGATGAGCAGTGCGCACCTCCTCCTGGTAGTTCTCAGGGTCCTGTATCTCCTGGCCGTTGCGCCAGTAGTGGCCCCGCGTGGGTCCCGCCTCCGCGCTGCGGAACCGCGGGTCGTCGTACCGGATCTGCAACACAACGTGTTCGCGCAACACTATTGATACGACATCATAGTCATTCTAACTATATATTATGCATCTTATAAATTAATACCAAACTATACATTTAAAGCGAAATCATTTATTACGCTTTTACGCCGTAAACTAAGAGTTTTATCCCGAAAACAAATGTTCCCAAGCAATAATTTAAATGGTCGTTCACGCAGGCAAAAGCGTAGGTAGCGGCTACTAAGTGTTATTTATTTGGAAGAGATATTTTAAAAAAATGGAAGGAATTTTATTTATATGAAATGAATGAGTGATGTTAGAAACATACAAGGGGCAGGATGTTGGTGCGGCCGGCCAGCTGGGGCTCGGCGAAAGGAGGGTTGTTGATATACTGCTGCGCCTCCTCCGGCGCCAGGTCCAGCTGCAGCACGTTGGAGACGGGCTGCGCGCTCGCCACGGCCACCGCCTGCACACAACGAACACACTACATTAAGTCTTCAATACTATTAAATTACAACGACCTAGTAAATTATCGCAACAAATATTTCCGTTAAACAAACGATGAAAACATCGGAGTCAGGGTCACGTGTGAGAGATGAGACTCATTCAGGACCGGTTACAAAGTTATCGCGACTGCTTGTGTTGTGTTGCGACTGATTGATTCTTTAACTGACCGAGTGACGCCATTTCGTTACATAACACCAACTGCTAAGTCTTATTTGACATATAATTATGTATAAATAAATACATCTTTGTTATTATACCATTATATTCAAATGCAATTTGAAAATTTTGAAGATATTAATACCGGTTATTTTATACACCGCGATGTATACTCATTTACTAATTATAATTAGCGTTTTGCTGTAAAATGTACATAAATAAATATGTATTATATAAAGTTTTAAAAAGTAAATAAGGAAGATAAAAATAAGTCGCAATGATCGCCGTCCGACTCTTTACCTTGCAAATTATTGTCGTTTTGTAAATGAACATTCAATTCGAAATAAATTAGCGAGTTTCAACCATAAATATAAAAAGAGGAATGAATGATTCCATGTAACAACATGCTCGTAAAGTAAGGAGAGTTGTTTCCTCATCACCTTCACAGTAATTAACAGATTATTAACAGAATTACATGCATTACGCTTATAATATATCAAAAGAACTTTGCATACCTACAGATATTATCAATATCTTCAATTAATAAAACTTTAAATAATGAAACAAAATTGTAGTGATTAAAAAAATATATGACTTGTAATCATATTTATAATCGATGATTAAAAAGGGGAAAACCAATCGCATAAAAACTGCCATTTTGAAGTTATTTATGAACCGGTTTTTGACAAAAGGTTAAAACGTCTGCGTCTGAGTGGAACATGTCCTAAGCTATAATATATATTATTATTACAATGAAATAGATACATATTTATACAAAATTATGAACAACAATACACAGCGCGGCACTATAACTACTGTACGTATTCATTTCTATGTCACAAGTCAGAACAACAGTCAGCTGACGTCATCAGCGTCACATCGCCCTCACATTGTACGTGACAGAGAACTAACCGAGACACACATTACTGTTATCTGCTTGAATAAACACCAACTCAAAACAGTATCTATTCAACTATAATCGCTAGTTAAAAGTAATTTTCGACTCATTGACTATCGTTGCTAGGACACATTTGATGTGATAGTGAACAGTATGACAGACTCCGAGGAGGTGCCTAAAGTAAAGAGTTTAAATATAGGTCCCACTTTTGAACAGATGTTAAATAAATGCTTAGTTACTTACAAGTAAAAACGCACCGACTATCGTCGCTTTTCGTACTTTAGTGTAAAAGACATCGACGACTATTCCGAACAAAAAATCAAATAAAAGACAATACCCTGTAATTTGTGTACACCTCTTGAATTAATCATTTAATTTTCTTACCTGGTTGAGCGTGGCTCGTCTGTCGTGTTCACTACGTCACCTCGGCCGTAGTAAAATGCATTATTAATGTCGGCACTTACTATTGTAAATATTGACTATAATAACAGCATTTCATTACTTATTGCCGATAACAAATGAATACTTGCCAGTAAAGGTTTTAGCGACATATAATATCAAACATACGCGATAGTATGTACCCGAATATATATGACATAGCATCGCACGGTATCACGTCGCGCCCTTTACCGTCCTCGTTACATTTTATTGAGATTGTTTTGCATATTGTATGGATGTTATTATAAAAAGTGTCTTCTAGATAATAGATTAATATTCTTCAATTATGTACTCCTCAAAAAAGGGTCAAATAAGCGACCTTTATTACATAACGAATGACTCAACAGATATAATTAGGTATAAATTATTATGTACTTGGGTATTTGTTGTATTGTTAGTTATCACACATATGTCGAATGTCTGTCGTGTGTCAGCGCAAGGCGACAAGCAACGACTGAAATATCATTAGTTGTCATTGTTTGTTCACTTTGCAGACTCGGGAATGGCTGCGAGGTGTTGGGTCTCTGGAGGACGACTCTCACGTCATTCAATAAACAACAAAAAAAATATTTACCTTCAATTACATCAATTAATACATAATAACAATTACTTTGAGATTTTTATACGATCAAAAAATATATATATACATATATTAAAGCTCCCCTTGTAAGGCTTCGAAATAACAATAAACCAAACTAAATCTGTCCTCTATTTTATCAAATAATTAAATCTCTCAAATCTGCCGTCTGGAGGGGAGGGGGGCTCACGCGCGCTCACTCAACATTATAACGATCTTAAACTGCTTAATGTCAACGATAAACTCTTACATGAAGACAAGTTGACCAAGAATTTATGGCAGATGCATGTTGAGGATTTGTTTAGAAACAATAATAATAATGCGTACGTTTACTTTTATTTATAATATTTTCCTTACCAAGTTGTCATCAATACTACGGCGCGACGTACCACGTGGCGGACAGTCGCGCAGGCAAACATGTTCCACTACTCTATTACGTTTCTTAGTTAAATCGAAAACGGATGTGAATCTTAATAAGTGTATATTTCAAAGAAGATATAAAAAGCGTAAACAGTTACGTAATGTGTGTCATCCAACAAGTTGGTGGTATATCATATTAGCGAGTGACTCGCCCGAGGCCTCTGAGGTCGACTCTCATTATATTAGCTGACTAATTACACGACTTTGCGATGTTTTGCTGTGTTTTTGTGCATTTGTGTAAAGTTCAGCAGACCGCACAGCTGCGCGCTGCTCATACGCGTCGCGGCGGGGCGCGGCGGTGAGGGGCGGGGAGCGTCACTGCTTCAAGGTTATTAAAAAAAACATAGAAATATGATAAGATTAGCACTAAATAATACAGCTGGCAATTTTAACTAATCTCCAAAAAAAAATGAATATCAAAGTTTATATTTTTGCTTTCGACGAAATCCTAAACTTTTCCTACTATTCTAAAATCCTATCCTGAAATCCAAAAATGTACTATCATGGCGAAACACACTAACTAAAGGGAGCACGATATGAAAGCTTAACATTTCATGAGGAACATGTTCAGAAGGAGAGGTTGGCCGCACTGTGACATGACGCAGTGTTATACACCACCACCAGCTCTGCTCCACTCCGCCAATACAACAAATCCGCCATACATACGTAAAGTATGTACACAGTACCGTATAGCTGTTATACAAATCAGTTGATAATATAAGGAGTATAATGTCAGTATTAACGTAAACCTTAATTTATATGAATTAATTATGTATATTGCGGACTACAAATGCTTATTATTATACTACGAGTTCTTATTTGTTTGCTTAAAATTAATTATGTAATATTTTATTTAAACCAGTAATCCAGCGTCCAATGTGCCTCATCCTTATTTGCTCGACGGCCGGCCGCGCCCGAAATGTGCTAATTCCTTCGTTGACCTTGACTGTGACTCGCTCTCGACTCGCACCTCACGGCCTTATGAAAACATTCTAGTGCGCAGGCGCAGCTAATTTAATTCGGCAACTGTAAGCCTTTCTACACCTAGATCTAGTGTCCATTGTGTCGCGCACCGCGGCCTGCTTTTAAATCGATTATTGATGCTTTTTAGTATGACTACAGGTCTGTTGGAGCAACGGTCTACGTCCGTATACAGCACAATAGTTCACATCTTTTAGAACAGCTCGTTTCTAGCGCAACACTCGCAACTCAAACAACCGGACTGAAGTAGAAAATATATAACCTATTGCTAATTACGGTTGTGGCGTACCATTGTGGTATTAATCCAATTCAGAATAAATAAAATAACAGAACAAAACACTGCCTCGCCTCGCCATCCACCGACCTAAAGACGTCAAAATTAAATCAAGAGCCAATTAAATTATTCACATTTTGTCGTTATCTTACTCTAAATAAGTTAAGTTGATGTTATTTACTTGCAAGTTACTGAGTTATTTACTGAGAAAAAAATATTTTTTTACAACGTGGAACAGAGATTAAATGATGTATCACTTTGAAATCATAAACAGACAAAAAATGTAATTTCGATTGTTTGCAATGTAATTGGATATTGTATAAATATTAATTTGTTATTTGTTATTTCTCAAAGTCAAGACAACCAAATATATATTTGTATGAAAAACCATCGTTAAAATAAATAAAAATGTAAAGTTAAAACTGTTCAATCTACGCATTATAGGTTATTATGTTAATGTTTTTCAAAATTGTTCAAAATAAAAACCACTGATGCGTCATATATTACTTTAAGTAACAATTACTGACTAAAACGTAATAATTTCCACGTGACTTAGGCCGTATATGTAAATATCGTGTTGTTGTTGTTGTACACTTGTTTGTAAATAACATCACCTTTGTGTTAAACTCGCAAAAAATTCCATCGTAAAGAATTTTACGCACACGAAACGCAATAAAAGATGCCTCCACTTCAATAGTCGAGTAATATGTACGTTGTCAAACAGGATGTGCATCCACAAGGAATGGTAAACATTACTCGCTTTTGTTTTTTAATTTATCCTCGTTTTAATTCTTTTTGAACAGTATACAATAGCTTGTTTTATCCTTTAAATAACTCGTGATCAAACTGTGTTTTAAATGTACATAGTATTTATGTAGTTACTTCAACAATACGACAATATCTTAATCGCGCCACGACCCTTTCCGTTTTGGGACAGTACTGAGAACACCAAGTACATATACTTCGTAACTCCGATTCAAAGCTTCATCTATTGTTCTTGAACAGTAGTTAATGTGTTAAGAAGACAGCAAATTAATAAAATTAACATTCATCTAAAGAAACCAACAAACATAAAACAGGATGGCAGTCGATGCACAGCATATCTATCTGCTTTTCTTTAACAAAACTTCTCCTTCTTGGTTATCATTTGACACAGTTATAATACATGTATGGTTAATTGATTTATCTTTTCCTCAATCATCACAGGTATCGGGCTACGCAACCTTTGAGGAAAAACCCAATTTAGTCTATGAGGTGGCGACCTCCGCCGATATTTGGACAGATGACCACAGACGACAATTATAGTGAAATAAGTCAAGCTGTCAGCTACAAAATTAACACAAATATGTTAGCGTGGGACAAATTATTGTGAATTTAAACTGATTTGATTTTATGCGGTTTCTAGAAGGTACGTTTATTGATTTATTAAAAAAACATATATGAAGGTAGCGAGCGAGTCATAATGTGAGGTATACTATTATTAGTGATGAGGTAACGCCGGCTGTGACGCTCATTAATGCTTGTTGTCGAATAAACTTCGTCGTTATTAATATCATTAACATATTATAAGCTTTCACGTTTTTTGTTCAACGAGAGCACAACGGCAGCCGCGCCCCACCGCAGGTCCACACGCGCTCCCAGTTTTTGTACGTTGTTTGTCTTATGTATCTCCCATACATCTGAAAGGCGCGGCCGTGACCGAGGCGAGGACTCCTGGACTAGCTAGCGTGTAACTTATGTATTTATATGTTATTTAGCACCTCAACATGTGTGCGTATACACACAACTGGACGTACTAATATACTTTAATATTGTTACGTACATGAATATAGGTCGCGTGTCATGTGTGTGAACTGTGAATAGCAATATCAATTGATTTTATGATACATCGCGCACAACCACTTGCTAAAAGATGAAAATATGATCGCTATATATGTACGAGTATAGAGAAAGTGAAATAATTTTTTAGTTCATCTCGGAAGCCTCCATAGAATTAAAAAGCGCATAATTGGAATTTTTTATACTGGAATTTTTTTGATTCCCTTTATCCTTTACCTTTAAAAAAACACGTGCGAAGCTCTGTATCTTCGTGCGTTTCTTATACTCTATCCAACCCTAAGTATTTAATATAAATAAATAACACACTAAATGTAAAACATCAAAAATCCGTTTAGATCAGCGCGCTTAGATACAGGCAGTTGTCCATAAATGTGTTCATCGAACCTGTTACACTTTGAACGCAGATACGTTACATATGGTAATAATTATTTCCATTTCAGTCGCACAAAAATGTTATTAATAGCAACATAAAGTAACATTTTCGTAAACGAATCAAATAATTTATCGCAAAAACAAGTCGTTGCCACGACTGTGTTAAAGATTTTTTTACGTATTATCACAAAGAAAAGCTGGCTAATGAGTCGTTATTGGCTAGAGATAGGTAAATAATTTGCCTTATTTAAAATTATTGCAGAATGAGCATCAGGCGGCCGATTATTGAGCTTTATTCTTTGAATGCTAATGTGTCGTATCTTGTAAGGTGCATCAAAGGGGCCACACAGCCGCTCTTCTCAGACCCCGTGCGTCGCCTTCGTATATCGTCGTCATATCGAATGTCACCCAACCTATCTGTCATCTGACCGCAAATCGCCTAATATACATCTGACTCCTCTGATTCACACGAATTACCTTTGAACAGTAGAAATAACTTGAAGATAAAATTATAAGGCAATAAATTGATTTAATTACACGAGCAGGCGTCCATGCGTTCTGCAGGACGTGGATTCGAAACTCTGATGATTCGTGCGACTGGAATTTATCTTTTTAAACATAAAAATGTTATCTATTTTTTTTACTTTATACATTAAAATCGTATACGAAAATGTTACTTTATTGTATCGGATTGTGAAAGGAAACGACATGAAAGTATTATAATAGTTTGTTTAACGAATTTATTGTGGACGTTTTTTATTTTAATTTCAATCGTCCTGACCCTTCCTTCTTGACGAGTTTAATTTAGTTGGTTCCAAAAAAGAATACACGTCTTTTTGTCTACAGGATATTTTTTTTTTTTGTATTATAAAGACCCAAATCTTCGGTTGGTGAGTCAATATCTGTGACAATTAGCAAGTTGTCTTATTATAAAATTGTCAAAACGGAAATGACCTTGACTAATCGCTGTGCTTCCAACTCAGTCGTATTTTGTAAGGCGAACCACTTGCCAGAGCGTTATTGTGAATACAAATATTTATGTATATTAAAATATAATTGTGTGTATACGTCCGTCCTGTCCTACCCTAATGATACCAACAGCGCAGCAGATCACCACCACGCTATATTTTATCAGCGATATGATTATACTTCAGCATAACTTAAAATTACTTCTTTTAATTAATGTTAAGTTAAGCAGCTTTACATGAAAAAAATAGAACAACAATGTAATGCGCAGTAATTAAGACGGAGCGCGAATTTTGATCACGACGCAATTAAGTACTTTTTATAATAACATTGTTATATTAATTTTATTTAAATACACTACATGTACTTCTCGCATCTTCACATTTATAAAACTCTTTTATATCATTTGACTGTAACTGTATCACTTGAAGGTGGGCCTCATCATCACCGTATTGTCATCACCGCATCATCACCCGTCAAGTCTATCATACAACTACGCGTAATAATTTACTAAGATACTATTATTTTTTTGTCTAGATATCTAAAATAACTTCACTTCTCCCTAACTCTCGCCCAAAATAATTTTAATAAACTCACATTGAAATTTCATTGGATTTTGCCGTAAATTAATAATTAATAGCAAAAAACCTGATTGACTCGTTTTGAAAGAATATATAATATATAGAAAGCTATTGTCCCCCTAAATAAAAATAATGTGAAAATGTATCTGTGCTTATAGAATCCCTTAAAATATATGCGATATGGTACTCACCACCGCCGCCGCAAGCAAAGTCGAGAGTCGTAACATGTCTGTGTGTCAGTGGCACGCGTCTCTACTCCCGCGAGATAAGACCTTAGCGGAACGATGCGCGCGCTCGCCTATATACAGCCTCCGCCGCCGGTGACGTCACCGCGCCCCGCACCG